TGATGGTGGTGGTGGTGATGGTGGTGGTGGTGGTGATGATGGTGGTGGTGGTGGTGGTGGTGATGGTGGTGGTGGTGGTGGTGATGGTGGTGGTGGTGGTGGTGGTGATGATGGTGGTGGTGGTGGTGATGAAGGGGGTGATGGTGATAGTGATGGTGATGATGGTGACGATGATGATGGTGACGGTGATGTTGTGATGAACATGGTGGTGCTACTGATGGTGGTGGTGGTGGTGATGACAGAGAGCCAGGGACAGAGATGTCACTGAGGGCCGGCACTGTTTTAAGGAGCGCTTTGATACAGGTGGAGCTGCTGGACCACCACCACACCTCACTGCAGTGCATACCATCATTATCCTCATTTTAGAGGTGAGGATGCTGGGTGACTGGCCTAAGTGCAACCAGCTGAAAGTGGCAGGGCCAGCCTGACCCCAGCCCAGCTGGCTCCAGAGCCCCTGCTCTTACCTCCACACCTGAGGCATCGAGACTGGAATGCTGGCCTCCCAGGAAAAGTACAAAGCTCTCATTCCATTATCCTCCATCAACCAGCCTACCAGCCAAACTCCGCCCTCCCCCAACTGTCTGAAAACCACACTCCTGTCAGCGGGTGGGGTCCAACCAGGTTTCCTCCCAGAAGAAAAACAGGCTTGGGGTAGGGAAGGGAGGCGGCAGCCCTGCCTTCAATGCCTGATTCCCAGGTGACTGCTCCTTCACAAGTGTCCCTCAGCACCAACAATGTCCCTCTTCAGCCTCTTTGTTAGAAAAGCCACAGGTAGCCTGGCCCAGTGTGGGAAGGGGCTGTGGACAGGTAAGTGCCCACTGGCGGAGTGGCGGCTCATTCACACCCCCTCCTCCTCCATGCCAGGCGATGAGATGCTGCCCGGCCCTCAGAGGGCTCACCCCCGCCGCACACTGGGCACTGATGGCTTCCCCAATGTTGGGGCTCAAATCGCACTCAGTAACAAGCCAGATCTGACCCAGCTGACAACAGCCTGGGGTGCACAGCCCTGGCTGGGCAGTCCTTGGCTTGAGCTGCTCTGGGGAGGATGGGCACAGGGGAGAGGAAGCACCTCCCCACTGTGGTCCTGGTCTGGAACAGATGGTCCAGCAAGGGGCTGCGGACCTGGGCTGCCTGGATCAGACGGCAGCCAGGAGGGAAGCCATGGGCCACGTTACGGGCCTGAAGAACGTCTGACTGACTCTGGCCAACATACCTCTCCACTCCCACTGCCACAACGCACCAAGCCACCCTTGGTGCTTGCGTGGGGTCACTCCTCCAGAGTCCTATCCGGCCCCCACCTGGTCTCCTGGCCTTTCCAGGTCTCCCCACCTCACGCCTCTGCCCTCACATAGAGGTCCTCTCTCAGGTCCTCCACCCTACACTAGGATCTGAGCATGTTACTGTCTACCTATTACCAGGAACCCAAACCAGGGCCGGTGCATGGGCTCCGACGCGTGGTGGCCCCGAGTGTCACAGCAGAGCTGTGCTCCCAGGGCTTTCAGAAACAGATCTCTAGGCCTTCCTTGCCAGGTGGATTCAAACCACCAAACTTAGAGCCAGCACTTGTGGCACCCAGGGACTCTACCTGCACAATATTAAAAACTGAAATAACGAACGCTGCCAGACAGGAGTCTCGTTAGCAAAACTTGGCGGCGCTTACGGGAAACCGTTTCCTCCTAAATGTTAAACTTGAACACTTTAAAGCAATACATGATAAAAGTCTTCCTAACAACCTAGTAGTTCATGGGTAACAGAAACTTGAGATCATGAAATACTGAAGACAAAATTAATCTACCCCTAAAAAAAGTTTCCTCATTCTCCTCAGACCTGGTCCCTCCCGAGGAACACCATACCCCTAATGCTAACACTTATGTACACTTCCCATCTCAAGGTAAGCTTCACTTCCTTACAGGGAGCCCCTACACCCCCAGGCTCTATATACCCTAGCCTCCTCCACCTCTCCCTATCACTGCATTCTCTTCATGGTCAGTATCACAGCAGAATCACCGACTGGAGCCAGCCATGTGGACACAACACACAGTTCTCTACCTGTTTCCTTTTGAATTCTAACACACGATCATACATTCCTCAGCCAACCTTCCCTCTGAGCACAGGGCACCTGTGTTGTCTGTTTTCTAGACTTGTTTCTTTAAATCAGCACAAGAACTCAAAGAGGACATGTGCAAAGCAACCTGAGCATGACATCTTTCTGGACTTTTACAAAATGGCCCCCAACATCTGAGAACTGTCCCGCCTACACGTATCCTGAGAGGGAGATTACAGGAGTAATCCCACAGTCATGCCCAAGTGTTCTGACAGAACCAGTGCTCCCTACTCCATGCACTGGGAGATGCAGTGTAGAGCTCACAAGGCCAGACTCCGTGGACAGCTGGGTTCAAAGCCCGGCTCAGTTCACTCATAGCTGCATGACTTTGAGTAGTTCCTGAATTCCGGGGGCACCAACTGTTATCATTGATTCATCTGTTTATGTAATGATAATGTCAACTGAGTAATTACAGTAACCAGTGCTTCTGTCACAAACAGGTTTGGCCACAAACAAGTGACTCTTGATAAGCATTCACTGATGCAGCATAAACACAAGGGAGCAGGGCTCAGCCCACTGGCGGTGGCACCCAGCCACGGGCGTCAGTCAGGATGCTTTACAAAAGGAAGTGGAAGGTACCCGGGAGCACAGGCAAGCCAGGGGTGGGCAAGGCCATGACACATAAGGATTATTTCACTGAACTCATTCACCATGTGTGTCATCCAACCCTAGCTGCACATTCGAATCAGTTTAAATACTGATGCCTTGGCACCCTGAGACAGCTATGTGGCACGAGGTGGGGCCTGGGCACTGGTATTTATGAAGCTTCTGGATGATTCTACATGCAGGGGGCATAGTGAAGCATCAGGATGTGCGCTCCAGGAGGCAGGCCACAGCTCTGGGGTCATGACTGGACACAGTGCCCAGCGCAGTTCCTGGCCATCACAGGTGCTAGATAGAAGCACGCCTTTGATGGGAATGGGGTTGGCCAGCTGGTCTCAGGCCCTTCTCTCCCTGGTGGGCAGGAGCCAGCCACAGGCAGCAACATCAAGGCTGACAAAGGCACCAAGAAGCAGCGGGGCCTCCCAGGAAGCGGGCCTCTGTGGTAGCAAATACCTCCCCCCAGAGCTGGTTCCAAGAGGCACTGGCCAGCGCCCTGTTAATCATCCACCCCACGCCAGGGACACAAGTGGATCATGTGGTGGGGCCAGCCCCAGGGCGGCCAAGCGCTGGCAGATCCTCTTAGTCAGCAGGTCACTGGGGCAGAGAGAACAAGATCCAGCCCCCGGGCGGGGGTGGGGGGGCAGCCAGGGCAAAGCCCCTGATCCAGCCAATTCCACACACACACATTCCTTCTCTCAGTGACCCTGAGCAGCCACCTATGATGACATCACAAAAGGGCAGAGTGCACCTAAGGGGTAAGTGTGAAAGGCAGAAAGGAAACTGGTTGCTAGGCAATGGGCCCTAGCCTACCTGTGTCTGGCTCTGGTGATGGTAATGAGAGTCTTTCAGGACCCCACCAGCTGCTCTCTGAGTCAGGGCGAAGTTCTGGTCCTCTGATGGCCTCTCCCATTCAGGCCCCCTCAAAGTGTGGGGCCTGAGCGACTACTCGGGTTTGCCTTCCTACAGATCACAGGTAAGGGGACGCAGGATCCTTTCTTCTCTCCTTTCCTCCCTCCCACTGGCTGCAGGCTCGAAGCCTGCTGGCGTTAGTGCCACTCCAAGAGGACCAGTTAGTCCCTCTTCTTCCACTGCCTCCTGGGACATTCCCGGGCCTCCACCAGTCAGGCCCCTCCTCGACTCCTGCACTGATCTCTCAAGAGGCCTCCAAACGTTTAATAAACGGGGCAGTGCTAGCATGGTGCTTGTTAGACTCTCCCTGAATAGGTCTCAGGGCAGGAGAGAACATCCTTGACTCTTGCTCACATTCAAGCTACTCAGGAGAAGAGGTCTAGGGAGGCCGGAGGCAGCCTCTCCTGGGCCAGTTCCAGGAGAACTCCACCTGTTGCAGGCTGGAGGGACGAGCCCAAAGACTCAGCACCCTTAATGTCCAGGAGCCGCACACGTCGGCAACCATCCGTGAAACCGTCCAGAGTGGGACTAGGGGAGGGGAAAGCCAGACCCAGGATGGGGCCTGGAAGGACTCTGTGCTCAGGGCCTCCCTCTCCTCTCTTCCAGGTTCACATGGGTGACTTGATAGCTAATTGGGATCTTAACTGGAAAGAAGAGTTCTGGCAAAACCCCTGGGACCTGGGGGGCCTCATCGTGATTGGCTTACTCATCACCACGGTCTTCCTGTTTGTTCTGTTTGCTATTGTGTTTGGTTTACTTCCTCCATTAGATACTTCTGGCATCTGTGAAAAGGAGGCAGTGTCTGATGTCCTGGGGGTTGAGAAGGCGTCTGACTCCCTGAGGGCTGAGCAGATATCTGGCTCCCTGGGGGCTGAGCAGACGTCTGGCTCCCTGGGGGCTGAGCAGACGTCTGGCTCCCTGGAGGCTGAGCAGACGTCTGGCTCCCTGGAGGCTGAGCAGACGTCTGGCTCCCTGGGGGCTGAGCAGACGTCTGGCTCCCTGGAGGCTGAGCAGACGTCTGGCTCCCTGGGGGCTGAGCAGACGTCTAGCTCCCTGGGGGCTGAGCAGGCGTCAGAAGATGCAGACTGAATACCCCCACAGCAGCAGCGGTGCCCTCTGGCTCAGGGCCTGCACCAGTTTCTTCTTTGCCTTTAGGATGAGTTCAGTTGCATGTGGGCTCTGGCTGAGGGACTGGCTGGACTGGCCAGGTGGAAAGGATGGTCTGAGACTGAGTTGGGGCCTCCCCACCCTGCTGCCACCAGACGCCTAAGCGCATGTGGCGGGACTCCACGCTGCCTTGGGTGAGGGAAGCAATGGCCAGCCAGGCCTCTACCATGCTCCCAGGCACAGCTGGAACTCCACAAGGCTTGCCAGAGGAGAAACACAAAATAACTCAATCAAGTAAAAACTCCTTTTTCATTCTGCTAACTTGTGAGAACTCATTTTCTGTCCAGCTGGAGCCACCAGCGTGCCCTCCCCTCGCAGAGCCTTACCCACAGACCCGGGCGTCCTCCCCTCGCAGAGCCTTACCCAGACCACCCGTGGCCTGGCCCTGCCTGGCTCTCCACAGATACTGACCCCCTTCCTGGTTCTTGGCACTTCTTTCCATTTTTGAGCATGGTCCCTCCCACCACAGAGCCTTTGCACGCGTTCTCCCCGTTGGGGGGGTTCTCCCTCATGTCACACCTTACTCCTTGGCTCAGATGATACCTTCACATCCTTCAGTTCTCAGTCTACCTTTCAGTTCCTAAGGTAAGTCATCCCTGACCCTCCAGACTAGGGGAGGGCTACCTGTCACACTCTCTCAAAATACCATGTACCTTTTCTCCAACAACCTGGAATTACACAACTTGGACGTGTTCATCTGACAAGTGTCCCTCACTTGAAGGAGCACCATAAAAGTGGGGCTGGATCTCTTTCGGCTCACCAGTGTATCCTCAGTGCCCAACACACAGTGCCTGGCACAGGACTGCACTGATCAATACATACTGGCCAAGCGAATGAACAAACTAGAAAACAAATGGATAAATGAGAGGATGCAGGGCTGTTGGGTTCCCTCGGCCCAGAGATCCCAGGAGCCGACAGAGCCGATCCAATCCAGCCCTAAACACCCAGCCGTCCTCCATCACAGACAAAGTGCCCAGGCCTCCAGGCCTGACGCCCCTTTAAACCTAATGACTGTCCCTGCGACACAAGATAAAAAGCCCAGTCATGAATAATTGATGCTTCTTTGCCAACGGTTGTACTGAGGAGAAAGCAGCTGCCTACAGTGGATAGAGGACCGTGGCCGCCCCACCCAGCTCATCCCTGCTCACCCAGACTCTTTCCGTTGGTGTCAAAGACAAGTAATCCTCACAAGCCCATCTCCCATGCCTCAGACCCTACTACAGTTTCTGCTGAAGAAACATGCTTGCTTCTGCTGAACCCCAACACTGGTTCTGTCCCTCACTGCCAGGTGCCCTCCCCAAGGAATCACCCAGGGAAGCGGACACCTCAGCCTTCACCTCAAACCTGGCTGCCCTTAGAAAAATGGCAAATGCCTGGCAGGGGAGGTCTTTTCCTCACACACTACACATTTATACAAATTTGCCCTTTTATCCAAAGAGTAATTTCAAATCCGGCCAAACCAGCCATGTTTATTCCACCCCAGGGCCGGGAAGTCCTGGCATCTGGAAGCCTTCATGTAGAGCTAATGAGAGGAGGTTATGCAGCTGCACCTGGAGCAGTGAGGGCATTACATGGACTCCCTAGGCCCCAGGTGCTCTAAGACGCTCCCCATGAGAGAGAGCAAGAGTTAGGGGAGAGGCCCCTCAAAGACCCTCTCCTCCTGCCTGGTGGGCTGCGTGGGGAGTAGGTTCTGGAGACATGGCAGAGCTAACCCCCCTGAGGGTCACGCAAATGAAGGACACCGTCCACGACATGGACTGGCCTGGAAGCTGCAAGAGGACACTCAACACACCAGCAGGTGTAAGGAGGGCGCAGGATGGGGCAACGTATCGGTCTGTCATACACAAGATCGCCAGGCATCAGAGCCCACTCGACGGCCACTCAGAACCACCACCCCACAGCGAGCCCCACAGAGCCCCGGACTCATGCCCAGACAAGGCCTGGCCAGGGTTATTTCCAACCGAGGGGCTCTGACAATCGGCAAGAGCATCTGGACTCTTCATCCACACCAAGAAGGCCCAGCACGGCGACTCCTGCACCAGTGCCTGAAAAGCACTGCTGTAAAGACCGTGAGCATGGTGGGCCTGGTCCTGCGGGCAGCCGCCTCTGCTGGGCGTGCTCTCAACAGAGGCCAAATCTGAGATGGCGTTTGGAGAAGGAAGGAGCCCTGGTGGCACTATGGTTGACCTCTTGGCTGCTAACCAAAAGGGTGGTGATTTGAACCCACCAGCCCCTCCATAGAAAAATAAGGCAGTCTGTTTCCTTGGAAACTCTTTGGGGCAGTTCTACCCTATAGGGTCCTATGCGTTGCATCACTCAATGGCAGTGGTTTGGGGAAGGAAAGAGCCATCAGTCCAGGAGCCACTGACTTATCAGAGCCAGTGGGCAATGGTAGCTGAGCCCAGGAGGGAGTGGGACAGCCCAAATCAATCTGTTTTAGAACGAGTACAGCCAGGATGCTCCTTAGAAGCAAGGGTGGCAAAACGTATCAAGTCCGTTGGATGTGTTATCAGGAGTGATCAGTTACTGGAGAAGGGTATCACACTTGGCAAAACAGAGGGTCAGCAAAAGAGAGGAAGACACTCAGTAAGACGGGCTGATACCGTGGCTGCAACGATGGGCTCAACCACAGCAAGAACCAGGAGGCTGGTGCAGGACCAGGCAGTGCTTCATTCTGTTGTCCACGGGGTCATATGAACCAACTCAACAGCATCTAACAATAGTTTCCAGAAGAGAGTCCAAAACATCAACCAGATGCCAGTTCCAGGCACTTGATCAGCATCAAGCTTCCAGAACCTAGTCTCTCAAAATCCAAGATGGCCCAAATGTGTGAAAGTTGGAGACCTGGGGTTAGTGACATCTCTGTTTACTGTGAGCCTTGTGACCCTGACCTCAGTCTATTCACCTGTTAATCTGAAGCAGTAATTCCTGCCTCATCTACCTCACAGGGCTGTGAAGAGAACCAATGAGATCAGAAGAATCCAAGAACCATACAAAGTACCACACAAACGCAAGGCATTCCCAGCCCGTGGAGAATCTTCCTGGGACGCAACGCCCGCACACTGTGCATACACAAAGAGCGGCCACCGCCTGCAGCCCACCCTGCCACAGCCCCTCCACGCTCCCACCACCAGCAGAAGCAGGTATCACAAATCAGTAGATCCCGAGTGGGTAGCTGTGCTGTTAGAAAAGACAGCTGATTTTGCTCGAAACACGTTACTGCCTCCCTTGGGAGATGAGCTGGTCACACATTTCTGTGTGGGTCTTAGATAAAAGGGTAACAACAACTCAAGAGAGGCCAGAGCCCAGCTCACTGGTATGTGATAGCCACAATGCTCAGAACTAGCCCCACTGCTCAGAGCTGAGTCACTCAGAGAGCCAGCGACTCCAGAAGGAGGGAGTATAGAAGGAAGTGGATGGCTACTCCAAGCACTGGGAAAAAATCCTCACATGGCCAGTTTCTGGGGTCCCCCAAAGAAAAGTGCTGCCTGACAGAAAAGCCCCACCCAGTGGCCTTCGACAGGCAGGGGCCCTTGGTGGCCCAAGAGCTGCCCTGCGTTAGCCGGTTCATCAGCTGGTGATGCTGGTGGGGGAGTGGATCACAGCCCCACTTTGTTCTGCTTCAAGTACAACATAAGTCACCTACCCCAGTTCTTCACAGAAGGTCACCAGGGCATCAAAGGCTGAGACAGCAGCTTTATCAGACGCTTTGTTCCCCCTCTTTTCCTGGAGACAAGAAATGACCACTTATCAATGACATGAGACAAAGTATATATGAACTGCTGTATGGAAAGTGAATTTGCTCTGTAAATCTTCACCCAGATCACAATAAAAAATAAATAAATAAATGACCACTTAGCAAAAGTCTTACATCCCTGGACCACCCTGTGGCCACAAAAAAGTGATGCGGGAGAGAAACATCAAAAGGGCCCAAGGAACCTTCTAAAAATTAAATGTTTATGTGCTTCCAAAGACTTCTCCAAAAGAGTCAAAAGAGAACCTACAGA